ACAGACAGACAGAGAGGTAGGGAGGGAGGGAGGGAGGGAGACAGACAAGGAGATGGGCAGAGTCTCTGCAGAGAGGCAGGGAGGCAGAGACATAGAAACAGAGACACGGAGACACAGAGACACACAACACAGACACGCAGAGACACACAACATAGACACACAGAGACACAGAGACAGTGAGACAGAGAGGCAGAGAGACAGAGACAGAGACAGAGACAGAGACAGACAGAGACGCAGACTGAGACACAGACAGAGACGTAGGGATTTCAGCGTTGATCCTTCATCAGTGATTGAGTTGTTAATGTTATGGCTATTACTGTTTATGTGACTCTGCAGAACAATGGTTTTCATCAGTGATCAAGTTGCTAATGTCTTTTGTTATGTGCCTCTGCAGAACAATGGTGTGATAACGTTTACGAGATGTGCATCAAGGCGAGCTGGTTATGCATGTGCAATATCCCTCATAATTCTGGGAACAATCTCCAAGTTTGCAGCCACCCTGCTGGCGATACCCAACTGTGTTCTCGGCGGAATGACAACATTTGTAAGGCGTATATCGAAACCCTCAGCCCCACAAACCCTGAACCCTAAAACAGTACTTCGCAGAATGCGTAAAGTCAGGCAACCTCGAAACCCAAACTCACGATTGCTAGCTGTTCCTCAACACTAACAGAAGCACTATCATGTCTTTACCGTTTGTTAGTTGTTGTCAACTTGTCACTACTTTTAAGTCTTCCGCCCCACATCTGTTTCACCATGTACAACCAGTTCTGTGCTTTTCTGTTCTGTCATGAGAGAGAGAGAGAGAGAGAGAGAGAGAGAGAGAGAGTAGGCTCAGTGCAGAAATATGACTGTGGATGAGGAGGAAAATTCCCAGAAGAAAGGGGAAAAGGCGAAACGAAAGTTCACAACCCAACCCACTTTTTTGAAAAATGGGGCCTTACGGTCTTTGCTGCTTTTCCATTCTGGGGAGCGTCAATCTGGTTCCTATTCCCCCGACAACTCAAAGAGTTACAGCAACATTACTCACGCATGCATCCTTCCATAGGCCGAAGGATCCCTGGTCAGCATTGATTACTCTGTTTTCATCGAGGATCGACTCCCAGCTTGCCTCCCTCTGCAAGGCTCCTCTCAGGCCCGGTGACCGATTCTGCCAGCTAAACATGACTACCTAGAATCCTTTTGGGAAAGTTTTTTACTCTTTTCCTGTGGGCCGTGTGCTCCCCTATCTGATGTGTGGCATTGATCCGAGCCTCTGTTACCAAACATCCAGACCTCTCTCTGTCTTTTCATCGTCGGTGGCCGACTTGAGATTTTTTACACGGGTCTGGGGACCTGTCTAGGCCCAGGCTGGGTCTAGTGTGTCCTGATTCTGGGTGTCCTGCTGCGCGCTTGATGTATCCGAGTTGTGCCAGTCCTTCCAAGCTAGGTTTTGCCCCTTGATTATAGTCACTTCGCCATCGACTAACCATTGCCAGATAAAACGTCTCTTCCCACTTTGCTCTCTCTCAGGGTACTTCAGCAGTTAGGTTCCTGCACTTAAATTCCTGCAGTTGATTTCTGCTTCTATCAGGCTCTTTGTAGATGCCCATACCTTCTCTTGTGGATTACTTGTATTGTTGAAGGTGATGCGGCATCTTCCCTTCCAGATTACCCAAAGTGTTGCTCTTCTTATCAGGGTGAACCACCACCTTTGAGGTTTGTCTAGATGAGCAGAGATGTAAGTCCAAAGCAGTCATTGGAGGGGGTTGTCCGGAAATGTAGAAGGAATCAGGTTGGACCACAAGTCACTCAGTCTAGCCCAGTATTCGGTTGCTTCCTGGCAGTGGACGAGGCAGTGTTTTCAGACCAATGGCGGATGTGGTCTGTGCTTTCTTGTTGGTGGAGTCTTCTGTGTTGTGGTACAACTAATTCTTTGTGTCTTCTGTAACTGCAGTTTGTTAAGTATGTTGCCTTTTCCCCTCCATCCTTTAATTTATGGATTATAATATGTATACATATATAATTTGTGCAAGTGTGCCACTTCGATGGCAGACGGGTGTTTGGGCACTTAACCACACCAATATGCCCAACCTTGCATCTTCTAGTATATTTCCTATCCACACCTCCTTTTGTTTTATGGATGGTTTGTGATGATCTGTGGAGAGAGAGAGAGAGAGAGAGAGAGAGAGAGAGAGAGTTTTTGAACACACAAACTTGCTCTTTGCTGCTGCACATCCGGCATCATCACAGCTGTCTCCTGCACCAACTTACATCTGGTATCGTTGGAGCTCTCTCCTGCACCAATCTTTCCTCAGCATGACGATCTGGACTCAGTACATGAATCCTTCCAAGCACCTGGTGCACCTGGGTCCATTTGACTGGGCACTTGGTTATAAGCCATATGTGCATCCAGGGTGGGTGATGCCAACCAAATGCCCTCCTCGACATGGCATGCTATTACAGGACCAGTCCCCTCAGCCACCCTGGCGTACTACAAATTGGTCGTGGCGAGAGTTTGCTGAAACTTGCCTCTGGGAGTGCTCTCGGGTCAGGAGGGGGCCTGGGGGGTTTGCTCTCAAAGAAATGGTGGTTGCTGATTGTAGTTCTGCCATGTGGCAGGGACGTGGTGGAACCGCTTAGGATGTAGGACTGTGGAAGGGCTGTGTGGCTGAGCTGTTAAAATAGATGGGCAGTTAATCCCCTCTGTGGAGGGCAATCAATCAATGCCGTCCAGTGCCTATTAATTACAACCTACAACTGAAACTGATATAACTATGGCTTCTTGCAGTGAATGTTAAGGGACGCTGGACCCGACTTCAAGCAGGTGCAGCTCCCCACCAATGGAACGGAGCCATCATGATGGGGAATGGGAGGGGTGTCTGCTCTTATCAGCACCCCCACCATCCCCGCTGCCGATGTGTTTGAGAAAGGGTTCAATAAGACCAAGGGTTCAAACCATCATGATCCATCGGACTCTTTATCTGATGGTAATGCCTCAGCCAGACCCTCTCAAAGTCTAGGACCCAATGGTAATGCTTTGACGGCAGGGCTTCAATAAGACCAAGTGTTCATACCATCACGGGTAGAGGCTCTTAGGCTTACGGCAGGTAGCCTTGGCGGGCAGGAAACCCACTAGTGATGGGTCATGGGCATCCGGCGGGTCTTGGACAGGCTGTGATTCGCGGACATCCGCATGCCCAGGTTTGTGGTGAGTATGCAGTAGTTGGTAATACTTGGTATGCTTACACCATCAGGCAGGTACAGAATTGGGCCAGAAGTAAACCCCTTGGTCCAAACGTCTCCAGGAGGAACTCTTTGTGCAGAAGTGAGGTCCTTCTCGCAAAAGAAAAGGTCTTTTGCGAAAAGTAAAGCCCTTGCCATTAGCATGGCCCCTGAGCAAGGAGGACACGCATAAATCGAGAAATGGTCCAAATTGGCAAATTGTTTGTTTTATAAAGAAAAAACAGGCTACCAGCCGGGCCGCCCTGGGTCACCTTGTTTTCCCAGACGGCCCGGCCATGCAAGGACCAGAGAAGGTCGAACAGAGCGGCCCCAGGTAGGGCAAAATTTTTGGATATCAATCATCGAGTTCCATCTGGAATTGAACTCAGGTCTGTACTTGAACAGTTCATGGGTGTACTAACTTAGCTGGGCCAGCAGTGTCTTTCTAATGGTACTATTCCTTGTGATTTACCACTTTGTTTCTTAGACTTTTGTTGGGTAAATGACGACATTTGTTTTATGACTATGGACTTTGTTAATTTCTGATTGGTACATTATGTGTTGCACTTCGGGTTCTGGTCCCATGGGGTCCCGTCAAAAGCATAACGCTGGGTAAAGCTCCCAGATCCGGTCCTTATGTGGGGTGGCCGGCCCCTTATGGTTTATAACGAAAACGAAGGACTTGCTTCAAAAAAAAAAAAAAAAAAAAAAAAAAACAGGTGGACGGCAACTCCTCCGCTGATCTTGTGGATATGGTTGTTTTGCTTGCCGGGAATGCAGCTCTTCATGAATGTCGTGACATCCGGATTCAATGTTCTTGCTTCAGAAGGTATTAATCGGCGAAACCGTTTCATCATCGCAATGTCTCTCGGCATTGGCCTAGGAGTCACTCTCGTTCCAGAGTGGGCCAATATTGCTAACCAGCCCCAACTATATCCAAGGGAAGGACCATTGTGGCCCGTTCGCAGCCATTGGAGTGCAGCCTACAGGGGTGAGTGCAGGCAGAGCTCGATGGCGCCCAAGCCCAAAAGGAACCATGCTTGTCTCACCCGTCTCCCAGCTGACCCACCCTTACACCCTGTAATTTCACAGGACCTCTACTCAACAGCACGAGTGCCATGAACCTCGCCCGGCCATACAGAGCCAAGGGATACATCCTTGGCATGTGCTGTATATATCCCAGGAATGAATGAAAGAGTAGCAGGAGAGAAGGAGAAGAGCACACGGAAAAGGAGAAGAGAATTGAAAGCGGGAGTTCAAATTGCATGGAAGATGGCACCAATCGAGAGTCGAGGAGGTTCACAAGAGGAGAAAGACGAGGAAGAGAAGGAAGAAGAGGACGAAGAGGATGAAGAGGACGAAGAGGAGAGGAGGAGAACGGCAATGATGACTACGGTAGTGAGCACGAGGACGAGGACGACGATGAGGATGAGGATGACGATGAAGACGAGGACATGACGAAGATGAAATCAAGGAAAAACAAAGGGAGGAGGTTGACATGAGGAGAAAGAGGAGGAAGAGGAGGAGGAGAGGAGGAGGAGAGGAGGAGGAGAGGAGGAAGAGGAGGAAGAGGAGACGAGGCTAAGGACGAGGATGACTACGAGATTGAGGACGAGGATGAGGACGTGGATGAGGATGAGGAAGAAACCAAGGAAGAAGAAAGGGAGGAAGACGAGGAAGAAGGAGAGGGAAGGGAGGAACACACAGAGAAGACCGATGACAAGAAGAAAGAAGGATAAAAGACACTTAGAAGAAATGCAGCATAAGAAGGGAATGGTGGGTAGCAGGAGGAAAGGAGGAAGGGCAAAGAAAAGAACAAGAAGACGGAAATCGAGAGTTGGAAGATGGTAACGTGCATAGATCAAAGCTAAGTATGTCTCGCTTGTTTTGGAAACATCCAAAGGGAAAAAAACATACATTACCGATTTCATGCATGACGCGTACAATCTTCCATGCAAGTTCGACCCCCGGTTTTCATCTTTTTCTTTTCCTTGTGCTCTTCCTCCTTCCCTCCTGCTACTCTCCCAGTCCCTTTCCATCAGTTGAGGGTTTGAACTTTGAAGCACTGTTCCTGAGTCAATTCCAGGGAAGTCGAAGGATGTCGGTGAACTTATTGGACCATGCCCGTCTCCGCACATTGAAACTGTAGGTGCTTGCAGAGTGCGCACTTCACTGGTTAAAGTGAGATAAACAACCACAAAAAGGAACGGCTACAACTCCTGCTCCTTCTCAACCACGCGACGCATGGGTCATGAATGTGGGCTTCCTTCCCAACCATCCCTGTGAAGAAAACAATGCCGTCAACGCAGGTGCTGATCTGAGATTCATATGCTTTATATCTTGCATAGAACTCATGATGTGGGCTTGAACTCTGGACTCCTACACTAGCGGGCAGTCGTATCTTCAGCTGGCTTTGTCGCTGAAACAAGTTTGCATCTCATGGTATGTTCTATGCAGGTTTTCGAGATGCATTGATTATTATTTTGTCAAATGGGTTCTCTTGTGGAGGTTTTACGGCCGTCATTCTTAATTTGGTTCTTCCTCAAGACAATGAAGAAATTGAGCCATCTGTGGCGCCGGGAACGGTTTTCCTTCGGCAGATGGTACAAACACGGGATCTTAGCCTCAGGCAGATATCAACCAGCAGAGTTGCAACGCAGGTAGAGCCAGGGGACGGAGAGAGGTCTACTCCAAGCGAACGCAATCGAAGATGGTCCTCGCAGCGATTGTCGACAGAGATACAGGTCCTGGAGACACAGATCCCAGTAGCGCCAATTGCTGCCGCCTCAAGTTGAATGTCTGATTGTTACTGCAGTGCATTAGCGAGCGGATGGGTTGGTAAAGGAGGGAAGGAGAGCAGCAGGACTGGAGAGTAGGGAGGGAGGCAGGGAGAGGGAGGGAGACAGGGAGAGGGAGGGGGAGAGAGAGAGGGGAGGGGAGAGAGAGAGAGAGAGAGAGCNTGTGAGAGAGAGAGAGAGAGAGAGAGAGAGAGAGAGAGAGAGAGAGAGAGAAAGAGAGAGAGAGAGAGAGATTGATTTTTATCGACAGGATGAGCAACGCACCAGCCAACAGGTAAGTCTCCAACCCTGCGGCTGACCTCAAGCTACTTCCATCGATTGGAATCGATTGAATCTTCCGCTATAACATGGAAATATATGCTACTACACTTGTGTGTGTGTGAGAGAGAGATAGAGAGTGAATGTGTGTGTGTGTGTGTGTGTGTGTGTGTGTGTGTGTGTGTGAAAGAGAGAGAGGGGAGGGGAGAGAGAGAGAGAGAGAGAGAGAGAGAGAGAGAGAGAGAGAGAGAGAGAGAGAAAGAGGGAGAGAGAGAGAGACAGAGACAGAGAGAGAGAGAGAGAGAGAGAGAGAGAGAGAGAGAGAGAGAGAGAGAGAGAGAGGTCATCCATCAAGGCTGAACTTGATAGGTGACATGAAGAATCCTATATTAGAGGATGACACTCTGCCAACCTCCAAAGTTATAATCATGCCGCAGCATCGAGATAAATGAGCAGAAGACAAATGGGTTCATTGGGATAAGGAAAACTTGAGGCTGTGGTGGCCTACAAGTGAAGAGAAGGCTCAGAAAGATGATAGGATGTACATTGGGCCATTCACAGTTTGCTGACGTGACTTTGGCCGATTCCCTAGATGTGGTGGTTAATGTCATTTCTTTATAGCAACAATGCACTCAAGTTCAGCAGGAGTTTATTTATTTTTCTACAGAAAATAAGGCTGTTTCTGGCCTCCTCCCTTCCATCCTTCACCAGGGGTTAGGCTGAGACACAGAAGGCTAAGGCTAGTATGGAAACCTTGTCGACCAACCAATTCCTGCTGCTTGGTAGTGTTAGGTATAGTGAGAGGAGTATAGCTTAGTTTCTTGTGGAAAAAAAAAGGGCTCTTTCTGCCCTCAGTAGATGAAACCTGATTCTAAATCTTGTATTTCTTTTTTTTGTTTTCAACTACCCTATATTCTTCTCCCATATACCTCCCACTACCTAACCTCTTATCTACATCCAGTTTCCATTATTCATTGCCGTAGCATGCCAAATCTATGCACCTAAGCCGGAGTGCCGATAGAGTTATGGGTTGGCATCGAGCTCCTCATGTGCCCAAGCACAGCTGCATTCTTAACTCCTAGCTAGGGTTGGCCGGGTCAAAGCGTACCCTGCCGAGACCAACTGGGG